TTTAACCATTAAAGGGTAACACTTTATTTTACAGTGTCCTTGTTACATATGTTACATGTACTTACCATAGTAATAACAGTAAATTATGCATAATTACATGCAACTAACCCTAACACTAATCCTATAACCCTATAGTAAGCACATGTTTTTAATTATTATTACTCAGTACTTAAATGTATAATTACATTGTAACAATGACACCTTAAAATAAAGTGTAACCCTTTATTTTAAGGTGTCTCTGTTACAGACTAATCATACATTTTGGTAATTAATAGTATTAAGTAATTACTACTTAATATTATAGGATTAGTGTTAGGGTTAGTTGCATGTAATTATGCATAATTTATTGTTATTACTATGGTAAGTACATGTAAGTAACAATGACACTGTAAAATAAAAATGTTACCGATTTTTTTTCTAAGGTGGGAAAATGGCCGTCAAAACAAACCAAAAAAAAAGTATTATAATAGTAGTACACAAGATTTGTGCGCATTATAAGTCTTCTGAAGTCGTACGATAGCAGTCACTATATACTCTACCTTTGTAAATCTCATTCGCTCGTATGGTGGAAGTGTGAGAACAATGGCGTTTGGTGTCATTAGCCGTGTTTCTATTACAGATTTGCGCAAAACTTTTCCGATAATTTCTGAATGTCGATAAAAAACTATAGCGGAAATTTTTTTTTTCTGTTGCGATTAGTCATTCTAATGGATGTTGGTTGGTTTATGTATATTAACTCGCCACTGCATTAACCATTATTTTTAATGGAAGAAGACGTAGTCGCGTTATCCAAGCATTAATGACAAGGAAAGACCCGTATACTGTGAGTTTCTGGGTGTTTCTCCCTCATATCTGCGTCAAGGTCTTGATAAATTGTGGTATTTGTTTGTTGTTTATGAGTTTAATAAAGAACTGTCTCGTCTTCTGTCCAAACACACCGCGGCTTCGTTAAAGAATGATCGACTGTTACGTACGTCATGTGACCTGTAAATGCGAAAAAAAACTGTTTACATTGTAGTTATGCGAAATATTCTTTCATCGAATTGCCTCATAAACCTCTTGCGAGCGTAACTTTTTAGCGATATATGGCAGTTTTTAAGAACTTGGCGTTTCCATTGGGCGTTTTTTCAATTCGCAATTTCCATTTGTGCAATTTGAAGGGTAATAAAAACGTGGCTATTGATGTCAAACCTACGTTATGCATCTTGATATGCCACGAATGTGCGAATTAAATTTTAGAGTATTTTCTATATGCATAATGCAGTTTTTTTTATCTTTTAATCAAAATGTCTTCTCTTTGGTGACGGATACAGGATCCTCCAATCATTAAGTCCGCTTAAACTCCGCCCCTTCCAGCTCACGCTCATCTGCATACACTCGAGTGCCACGCCCACATCTCAACATCCAATCAACAACCGACGCATAGAATCATGTCCCACCCGACTTTCCCCCCCGATAATCCAATACACTCAGATGTACGTCACAATATGAAAGTAAAGATCTGGCGCTACTTTAAAAACCGTTAGAGGAAGTCAATAATCTTTACACATTACTAACTAACTAAGTGATCCTAGATTATTGCTGCTTTATAATTAGTTTAGACGCTATTAACTAACGGTAACCAGATTGGAAAATTAATTCGAGACGTTCTTGTGTTTCTGATGATGATCTGGGCTGCCGGAGGCCGAAATATCCACCGTCACACATATAAATATTATAAAAAATAGAAAGTTCGATGCAAAAGAAGCCCTTACTGCTCCAGAAATCTGCTGAGTGACAAGCGCTCACGGCCGGCCAAAGCTAAAGATCAGGGAGTGCGGAAAATGTCTTTGCTTACGCGTGTCTGAAATCTGGCACCGAAAGGCCAACAATAGCTTTCAGTCACACACACACACACACACACACACACACACACACCTGCACAAGCTGACAAACTACATCACCTGAGGAGCTTTAGCGCACAGATGACTTCCTACTAACCTCAAATGTCAACTGACTTACCTTTCAAAGCGCTCCTCAGGAGACGTGCGCGAGTTTAGAGAGTTTCCTCACCAGTTATAAAAGTAGCTGATGTGAAGGTTAAAGAAAGTTGACTGCTTTTATTATCATTATGAAATACGTTATGCATCTTGATATGCCACGAATGTGCGAATTAAATTTGGGAGTATTTTCTATATGCATAATGCAGTTTTTTTGTAAATAACTCATCATTTTTTTTAACCTTTTAATCAAAAGTTCTTCTCTTTGGTGACGTATACAGGATCCTCCAATCATTAAGTCCGCTTAAAACTCCGCCCCTTCCAGCTCACGCTCATCTGCATACACTCGAGTGCCACGCCCACATGTCAACATCCAATCAACAACCGACGCATAGAATCATGTCCACCCGACTTTCCCCCCCGATAATCCAATACACTCAGATGTACGTCACAATATGAAAGTAAAGATCTGGCGCTACTTTAAAACCGTTAGAGGAAGTCAATAATCTTACACTTTATTTTATTACACGGATCTGAAATGTTTGTCCAGCAGCAGAACTACGTGATCCTAGATCATTGCACTCATTTTATTTTAGAATTGTTTTATAATGCAATTCATTGCAATAACTAAATGTCTGAAATTCTTCATTTTGGCTCAATGATTTTACTCACCCGTTCACACCAAGGATGATAACTATAATGATAATGATAAAGATGTATTTTTAAAGTCCCCTGTGGTGAAAATCCTGTTTTTAATGTTGTTTATATGTCTATGTGGTGTTTTTAATTGCTTTAAGACAAACCATGTGTAAGTTCATAAGTCGACAGCATTGCTGAGTATTTTCTGCTTAAAACTGCAGTGAACCAAAGACAGTCTCAAAAACACGGTTTGAAATCGCTGGTGTTTCTGACGTCACAAACGAGCTTGTAACCAATCAGATCAACGTGTGATCGTCAACCAGTGATCTCTGAGCTGAGTGAGTGAGTGGAGGCGGGGCTCATTTGCATATTCATAGAACCGCGCATACTAAATGAGGCACGAGTTACACTCAAGCTATTTTAAGGCATGAAGATTTTTTTCCCAAAGAAAAAACGTTTAAATATGTCATTTTGGTGATCAAAGATGAGTTTAGGGGGTAAAATCATTATACTTTTGGTTCACTGCAGTTTAAGGAGAAAATACTCAGCAATGCTGTCGACTTATGAATTTACACATGGTCTGTCTTAAAGCATATTAAAAACACCCTATAGACATACAGTATAAACAAGTATAAACATAATTTTCACCACAGGGCGACTTTAAAATGCTCTTCACACTCTTTCTTTTTAAAACCGGGTTCTTTGGGGAACTCAAATGTTTCCTGAGTGTTTATAAGAAGAAAAGAATTTCTCCTGAAAGAGTTCTGCCGCTCTTTTGCCACATCTGTCTCTCATGTAAACAGAGAGGAGTTGATTCCCGAGTCTTTGTTAGGACTCCCAGTCGTCACCTCCCTCTCTCTCTCTCTCTCTCTCTCTCTCTCTCTCTCTCTTCTCTCTCTCTCTCTCTCTCTCTCTCTCTCTCTCTCTCTCTCCTCTCTCTCTCTCTCTCTCTCTCTCTCTCTCTCTCTCCCCTCTCTCTCTCTCTCTCCCTCTCTCTCTCTCTCTCTCTCTCTCTCTCCCCTCTCTCTCTCTCTCTCTCTCTCTCTCTCTCTCTCTCTCTCTCTCCTCTCTCTCTCTCCTCTCTCTCTCTCTCTCTCTCTCTCTCTCTCTTCTCTTCTCTCTCTCTCTCTCTCTCTCTCTCTCTCTCCTGCACAGACAGTTTAGAAACTTTCCCATCACAGTATTGGTGGGTTGATCTGACTCCTCTATAACAGAACTGAGTCAGTCAGTGCAGGACAGACCACCTGGAACACACACACACACACACTCCTCTGGATTCTCGTGGCGTTAGCTGTGGTCGAGATCATCTCAGACGTAATGCTGAAGGACTCGTTCACCTGGACTCATTGATTTGTTTGTTTGTGTTTTGATCGCAGCCTGGAAACTTTGAGGAGACTCGCGCTCTGTCTCGCAGGACAGAAGAGACCGGGACACAGACATCATTGTGAGTACGTTTCTCTCCTGTTGCTCATCATGGGGCTTTTGGGGTTTTTGTTGTGGACTTACTGGAATTCCAACATGTTGAACTGGTTTAAGTTAAAGCTGCCGTGTCTCTCTGAACTCTTCTTCAGTATGTGGAGGGAGAAAAGCACTCATAAACAAAGGTTCATCAATGTTAAGAACATCCAAGTGCTTCAACTAATATCTCTCTCAACACTTAAATCGAGAAACGTTTAACTTGAGAAGCAAAACTACTTGTCTTGATTTCAGGAAAATTGATCAAAATGAAGTATGTTTGTGCTTAAAACGATAAAAAGAAAAAATAACCTTAACATAACAAGATTATGTTCATGCATAAACTCACTTACTGTAATTTTGATAAAATGTTGTCTTGATTTTAAGAATGTTTA